TACACATCAGCCTTTTTTTCAGCATCTGAAATTCACCACGTTCCAGGATCTGTTTTAGGCGTGCTATTAGTTGGTCCTGATTCTTTATTGCATAGTCTTGCAGATCAAAAAGTGTGTATTTACCTAGAGATGGGGAAAACATGCATAAATGACAGCTTTGCAATAAAATTCTAAGTTGTCATGAAAAACAAGTCTTACAGATTGGGCAATGTCAAAAATCAGGGTTTATTTCATGATTCATAGGTGATAATAACTAAAATATTATTCAACAGCAACGCTGCATGAACAGATCTATATTATTTGTTTCTCTTTAAAGAGGTACATAACAAATCTGTTATTCCATGCTTATTAATGTTTGGTTAGCAACAGGTTACCAGAATCTCTTCTTGTTTTATATGCGTGTGCATACATATATAGTATATGTATATGCATATTTTTATGTGTGTCCATGTGTATAAATCTTTTTTTCTTTTGGCTTTCCTCTTTTTCCTCTGTCAACTTTCTTATCCTATTCCTTTCTTGCTATGTTCTCTTGCCTGTAGGGCTGCCCCCTGAAAAGGAAGTGGCCAATTAACCCTTTATTTGCATTAACAAAACACACAAAATACCGTTTCATCACAGGTAAAAATAGGAGTAGTACCATGCGTTCTAAACTGAAGTAAGGATAGAGGTTTACACTGTAAATTTACAGTGATTTTTTTCATAATTTAATGTTTTAATATTTAGAAGAGTCAAACTGTCCAAGAAAGAACCTCCACATGTACATTTTTCGGCACTGAGCACAATTAGGCTGCCAGTTTAATTTGTATTGCATATTATTGTTTAAAATAATGCTAACAATTAATTGAAGGTGTTTTTTATTCTCCATTAGTACAGCTTTAGCTACAATTCCAAATAAGCCACATTAGCTAGATATTATGGAAAGTGTAGCCTATTATAAAATAATGGGTATGAATGAGTTACCTACTAACATGAAGGAACAGCAGAATATACACACATCTGCATTTGATTTTAATGATCTGGAGATGTCTGCACTGCAGCGCTCTCAACAGTTCTACTGATTAAAGCAGGAGGAACATAAAAAAAAACAGATCTCTGCATCTTTCTAGAGTTTAAATAAATCTTATTGAATAATTCTGTTATATTATTAACCTTCCATTTTCATATTTACCTTGCATTGCTATTACTATTATTAGTAATAATTAGTAACAATATTAAAAAGGTTTGGGAGAGAGCGAGACAGGAGCAAAAAACAAATCTGAAGGATCACTGGTTAATAAAGGTATACGCAAGATAATCTATGTACAAAAAGCAAAGTTCCCATATAGGATAACCAAATCCTTAAAAACGCATCAATTCATAGATTACAAGTAATGCCATTAGGACTTCAGGGACAGCTTATTGATGCACAGAAAGGAAGTATATATACAGCGGTACCTCTAGTTACGAACTTAATCCGTTCCGTGACTCTGGTTGCAACTCGAATTGGTCTCAAGTCGAGGTAAAGTTTCCCATAAGGTTCAATGTAAATACGTTTAATCCGGTCCGCCCTCCGAATTTGGTCGCACCACGAGA